TTACTGACAGGTAAGGCACTTAGCTATATTTTCTGAAATCTTTCTACGCATATCACTCCACCAAACGTGTCTCTTTAGGTCTTTGTACATCTTAATTATTCCTGCATCTGTGTAAACAACGTACGTCCTGTCACTGCTCGAAATAGTCAAAACCGGTACTGTAGTCAACTTAGTCTTTAACGTATCAAAGGCCTTCTGGCACTCTGTATTCCAAATGAACTGTACACCCTTCTTCGTAAGGCGTGAAATTGGCGTCGAAATCTTCAAAAAGTCTAGGATGCACTTCCTGTAATAACCAGCTTATCCAAGAAGCTTCGAATCTCTGTCACCATCTTCGGCGGTTCCAAAATTAAGAATTGTTTTAAACTTAGCCGGATCCACTGCCATGCCCTCTCTGCTATTGACGTGGCCGAGAAATCTAACTTCTGAAAACCAAAACCTGTATTTGCTGAACTTGGCATATAACTGGTGCTCCTGAAGAGTCTGCAATGCTACTCGTGTTCTGCCTCTGATCTCAAAAATATGAGGATATCAAACTGGCCCATGAAGGGAGGAAAAAAAATGGTTCATCGCATTCATGAATACTACGGGTGCATTAGTCAACCCGAATGGCCTGACTAGAAACTCTAAAGATTCACATCGAATTAGGAAAAACGGCTTTGGGAAAATCCATCTCCCGAACCCGCAACTATGATAACCAGAACGAAGATCAAACTTCGAGAAATATTACACTCTCAGCAACTAGTCGAACAAGTCATCAATCCTAGGTAATGAGTACCTATTCCGGACAGTGACCTTGTTCGGCTCTCTATAATCAATGCACAATCTCATATTACTGTCCTTCCTCTTCACGAAGAGGACCGATACGCCCCATGGAGAATAACTCCTACAAATAAAACCTGAGCTAACAACTCGTCCAACTGGGTCTGAAGCTCCCTCATCTCAAGCTGGTACCATACGATAGGGTGCGCGGGATATCGGGACTGTGCCCGGCTACAACTCAATACACAACTCGACCTCTCTGCGCGGGATATCGGGACTGTGCCCGGCTACAACTCAATACACAACTCGACCTCTCACACAGGAGGTAATCCAGGTATATCCTGAAAGACATCCTGATACTCTTAGACAACTCTAGTCTCCAATAAATCAATACTCATATCCCGTCACAGCGCCTCCTCGATATACGCCAGAAATGACTCCGTAAAACGATTGTCCTGAGAGGTTGCTACAATCATCTCGGACCCATCGGACGCTCGCAAATTGACTGTCTTCGCAAAGAAGTCAATACTAGCCTGGTAGGAGGATAACCAAACCATACCAAGTATAACATCGAACCCGAACATATACAACGCTATCAAATTGATAACAAACCCTGACTCATCTAGTCTGATGACATATTTCCTATAGATAGAGTGGACACCTCCCCTAGAGGAGTAGATACTGACAACGGAATATCTAAAGAATGTGCTACAAGCTGAAGCCTACCAATGGAGGTATGAAAGATGAGCGAATTTTCTAAATCAAATTAGATCCGAGCTGAAAAGAAAATCAAGAATAAAGCTCCGCTCGAACCCTGATCATGCGGTACTGACAACGGAATATCTAAAGAATGTGCTACAAGCTGAAGCCTACCAATGGAGGTATGAAAGATGAGGGAATTTTCTAAATCAAATTAGATCCGAGCTGAAAGAAAATCAAGAATAAAGCTCTGTTCGAACCCTGATCATGCGGTACTGCTGAATAGACTCCGCTGTTGGCCTTCTTGTTTTGATGATGTTTAACAAACAATTTACTACTAATGTTGTTTGTCTAGTGTTTGTACATTCTTATTTATTATAGACAAACAACGTAGTTGGAGGATGGATGGATTGCGCCATAACGACGATATCAAATGGAGGTTGGCGGAATTGTGGAGTGAAGCAACATACAATTCAAGTTAAAGATCAAGTTCAAGCTTCATCCGCAAAGTGTACCAAGTCAAGCTTATTGAAGATCAAGATCATTGCTTGGGTAATTTAGTTTAGGAATTTATATTATGTGTGTTAGTACTTTAAGCTCAATCATATACACACATACACGTTTTGGATTTTGTATATATATAGTTATATATATACATATATGTTTTGGTTTGATAGTTTTCAAGTTTTACTATGAAACATATGAATAGAATTGGAAAATACTATTTTGTTTCATGTTTATATGCCTATATATGATTTCACCTTTAACAAGCTTATATTTAATGAAATCATATTTAGTGTTTTGAATATATTGCATAGAATATGCAAATTTATGAAAATATTGTATTTCTAGATTATAGACTTCATAACAACATGTTATATCTTTTATCAAGTCTATACAATCATTTCATAAGGTTTCAAAATGTTGTTTAAGTCAAAATATCAAAATATCAATTTTCAGGTTTTCATGTTTTGAACTATTTTGTAAAATGATGATATTTTTCATTTGGGAAGTTCTTTTTCGAAACCAGTCATTGTAGCATGTTTATTATCATGTCTACAATCATTCCCCAAAGTTTTACATTTTTTGGAATTTGTTTGATATTTTTAAACAGCTTTTTAAAATCAGCAAATCAGGTTTTTCAGCTGTGTCAGATTTCGGTCGACCGACCCGGTCGACCGATCAGTTGGTTTTTCAGCATTGGGCGACAGAGAGTCTGTCGGTCGACCGGTCCGGTCGACCGAAAGCTCCATCGGTCGACCGCACCGGTCGACCGAAGATGTCAGCTTGTGGTTTCTCGTTTTCGACCTGGATAACGGTCGACCGAATTTTCCGTCGGTCGACCGAACTTTTCCATCGGTCGACCGACAGAATTTCCGGTCGACCGACGATGGATTTTTCTGTTTCCAACGGCTAGTTTTTGTACCGTTGGCTGGGTCTTTTGGTCTTTTGTTTTGGGTGTTTTTGCTGAGTTTCTTAGAGGGTATAAATACCCCATTGCTGATGTCTTTTCAAGTTAACCAAGAGAGTTTTAAAACAAGTTTAAGAAAGTTTTAATCAATGGTTTAAGTTTGTTTAAAGTGTGTTTATAAGCTTTTAAGCATTTGAGTGTTTTGAGTTTGTGAATTCAATTTCACAAGAGCAAGTGGAGATCATCCTTTGGTGTTTGAGCATTCACTCTTCTCCTACTCTTAAGTTTGTTTAAAGTGTGTTTATAAGCTTTTAAGCATTTGAGTGTTTCGATTTTGTGAATCAAATTCCACAAGAGCTTGAGGAGATTATCTATTGAAGTTTGAGCTTCCAACTATCATCCCTCCATCTCTTGTTATCAAATTGAGAAGTTTTCTAAACTCAAACTCTAGCTTTACATTTATATACTTGTTTGATTATCATTGTTCTTAAGCTAGATTTTATATTTGAGTTTAGTTTGATTTTGATTTTACTCATTGTTACACACACCCACATTGAGCTTTTAGTATTTACATACATAGTATAGTTGGGTGGTGAGAGATTGTAACTTTGAGTTGTGCTTTAATTGTGTTCTCATCCATATTAGAGAACAAATTATATTTGTTACATTGTGAGATTGTTAGGTTTTCGGTGAGCTAGAAACCGAGTGTGTTGTGAGGTTTTCTTATTGTTTTCATTTTTTTTCTTTTGATCATGTAACAGATATCAATGAATTTTATTGACGGTAGTCATAGAATTTAATCCATCCTCTATCATATGCTCTACTGATCAGGGACCTTATCTATTGTTGACGCTAGTGTGGCATTTTATTGTTATCACATTTCTACTTGATCGATTCTTTAGTATAACTATAACAAGACTTTCTTCTTGTTGTACGCTAGTTTTTAGGGCATAATACAAAAAAAAATTTTGAGCAACCTTCTGAATATTTAATCATAAATAGATTCTCTAATTTGCTATCTATTAAACAACCAGAAAACGTGGTACTGTAAAAATTTTCAGAAATATTTTACCTAACAAATTTTAATCATCACTTCTCAACTTGATAATAGAGAAATACATTTTTAATCATAGTTATTTATCATTTTATAGTTTGCTGCGGTGTCTTAACAAAATATAAGAATAAGTATAATTTATGAAAGATGCGTAGAATTATATAAGAAAAGAATTTACACTGTCCATAATATTGAAGAAGATCCAAATTTTTTGGCCGGCTATACCGTTCACTTTCAAACTTGACCCTTTTAACACAACCTGGAAAGCTCTTACATTCACATAGGAAAACAAACGGAATTAACAGAAAAAACTCCGCCAGACCTTCTTCAATTCCCTCTCCCTTCACCCCCAATGAATTCAGCTGCTGCCTCTTATGATGAAGAGGCCATCCTGTTGAAGCTCCAAAATGCCCAATCCAACCTTCTCGCTGTTCTTGCTGAATCCTCGGAGCTGAACAGAAACCTGGCTGCTGGTGATAAGCGCCTTTCCTTTGGCCTTGAGACTGTCGCTGCTGCATCTGATGCTGTTGCGCCTCTACAGACCCAGCATATTGCCGCGAAAGCACTTCGCTCGCGCATCAACCGTGCAGTCTCACCTGCTCTCTTGGTTCTTGACAATTTTGCACTTGTTGAGTCCCTCCAGCGTCGTCTCCTCTCACTCTCTGATGATACAAGCACCAGGTATGTCTATAAATCTGGAAAACTATATGATAGTTACTGTTTACTGGATAATTGTGCATCAAAAGAAAAAAGAAGCATCGAACTAATGCACTAAGATCCAAACCTTCTACTTTGCACTGACACATCATTCAATTTTCAAATTGGATCAGTTCAATATCTTCTCATGCCACAAATTTATTCAGTGCATATCGGACAGATATAATCAGAGAAGTCGATATGCCATCAATTAATTTAACCATTGTTTGTAAACTCTTTTCAAGGATAGACGATTCTTGATGCACCATTCATCCTATTAACACAAAAAACTGCGCAATTTCTGCTATAAATTTTAGTCTATGGTACTGAGAGACATTATTAAATATGATACTGGTATATTTTTATCAGAAAACTGTGTAAAAGGTAATGGTCAAGGCATAGTTAAATATAAGGATGGATAGTTCTTGATGTATCAATTATAATTTAGACAGGTGTGCTATAATTTCTCCAGCACTTATGTATCACTCATAATATCCTTGAGTCTTGACAACAGGCCTCACTTATCTCGGCTTCTAAAATACGTAGACTGCGTTAACCGCCTAAATACAGCGATTGGGGCTGTGACCGTTGGGTGCGAACCAGCAGTTCTAAGGCTCCAGGAGGCAGTCGAGTTCTTGAGCCGGACGAAGTCAACGGATCAACTAAGGATTCATCGGTTGAGGGAAACGTTAGCGGCGATCAAGGCTCTGTATGAGTCGGAAGTGGATGCGATGAGGTACGAGGGTGTGTTCGACGAGGCACTGGTCAGGTTGCAGGATGAGTACGAGGCCATACTGCAGCAAATCAAGCATGAAGGGATCAGAGAAGCAGCTGAAGGAGGTGAAGAGGGGGATGTTGATGCAGAGGTTGATCGTGAAGCAGAGAAGAAGCAATTGGGTTCGGAACTTGAAGTTGAAGTACTTGGTCGGATATCGGAGACGCTGGCTTCTAATGATTGTTTGGATATCTGCATTGATATCTATGTCAAGGTACATGGATTCAATTGAAGTAGTAGTACTTCCTTGTTGAATATAATTTAATCAGTACATTAAAAAATGATCTATTTATCTCAAAGGGTTGAGACAGAAATGGTCTATGCATAAAGTATTAAGGGATTGTAAAAGATTTTATTAACTCAGAATTGGATTTTGCAATGGTCTATGCAGAAAGGATGAAGGAATTGTATAAGGTTTTATTATCTAAGAATTATTAGATTTAAGGGGCATGGTACAGTTTAAGAATATGCCTTTTACAAGCAGTAGACTAACGCTCAATTACTCTGTATTCAATTTAGTCTATTTGAAGACCTGGGAAAAGATTGTATTCATGGTATAAATATCGCTTTAGTGTATAAATATCACTTTAGAGCAGAAGAGTATAAATCTTTTCTTAGAAAAATGCTAGACTATAAGACTGTAACCATTAAGTTCTTATCACAAGTTTGAAGTTTTGGTGTATGAAAGAGGATTAAGATGATATCAGATTAATCCTGATTGAAATCTGACTGAACCATGCATTTAAAGAAGATTAAAAAAATTACTCCTGCATGAATAGCAGTTTACACTTCAGTCTCGTGTGAAGGTACAATATCACAAATTTCTATCAATCATACTCTTATGCTCTAGAATTTTATTTGGCTTACAACAGAAATTAATTTTTATTTTAATTTTGTAGGGAACTAGTTTCTTTTGTTCTTGTTTCATATTGTTTACGCACTTCCACAATATATCCTGAACCATCAGAAACTAATCTAAGCAGGTAAGATACCGAAGGGCAGCAAAGGCTCTGATGAGGCTAAACCCAAGATACCTCAAAACTTACGCACCAGAAGAAATAGACAAAATAGAATGGGAAGTCTTAGAATCAGCAATCACTCTCTGGATCCAACACTTCCAACTTGCGGTAAACTCCGTTTTCCTTGCCGAAAAACACCTCTGCAAGCGAGTCCTCTCCGGCATCATGGACGGCACGATCTGGCCTGCATGCTTCGCAAAAATCGCTGATAAAATCATGGCTGTCTTCTTCCGTTTTGGCGAAGGCGTCGCTCGCAGCTCCAAAGAGCCCCAAAAGCTCTTCAAACTCCTTGACATGTATGATTCCATGGATAAAATTCGCAGCGAGTTTTTTCAAGTTTTTGATGGTGAGTCCGGAGTTGATATATGTGCTCGTTTTCGCGAGCTTCAAAAGTTATTGGTTCATGCTGCATCTAAAGTGTTCTGGGAGTTTGGTCTCCAGATTGAGGGACTTGAAGATGGTTCTCCTCCGCCTTCTGATGGATCTGTACCAAAAATTGTCAGATATGCTGTGAACTACTTGAAATGTCTCGCTGGTTGCGGATACGCTTCAGTAATGGGCCAAGCACTGCGAATAGAGAAAACATGGAAAGCAGGATATCTATCGAAGGCGGAGCCCGATGAGAATCTACTAAGAGAGGCGATATCGAATGCTCTCGATGCACTGCAGAGAAATGTAGAGGCAAAAAGGAGCAAATACAAAGATAAAACAACATCTCATGTATTGGCAATGAACACATATTGGTATATGTATATGAGAACCAGAGGCTCAGAGCTGGCCAAATTGGTAGGAGAGGATATAATGAAAAAAAAATACAAGGCTGCGGCCGAGGAGGCAGCTTATTCTTACCAAGCGCAGGCATGGGGCCCTCTGGTGAAGTGGCTCCAGAGAGAGGAGGAGTCGCCGAGAGAGCGGATGGAGGTGTTTACGAGAGAGTTTGAGGAAATTTTAAGGAGGCATCAGAAATGTTATTGCGTTCAGGACGACGATTTGAGACATCAGATTGGAGGGGCAGTGGTCAAGATTGTTGTGCCGGCGTATGAAGAGTTTTTGAGTCTGCATTCGAGGGTTTGTCAGGGGAGATCGTCGGTTTTAGCTCCGGACTCGATGAGGGAGATTTTGAGTAGGATTTTTGGTGGAGAGACTGTTGAGGTGGTGAAGTTTAAGAGGAGAGAGTTTAGAAAGGGGGAAGATGAGGAGAAGGTTGATGAAGGAGGTAGCTTCGGGAGAAGGAAGGAGAAGGAAAGAGGAGGAGAGAGATTTAGGAGGAAGGAAAGAGGAAGCTTTGGGAGGAAGGGGGAGCAAGGCGAAGAGCGAGAAAACTCCGAGAGGAACGATGAGAGGAAGGAGGAGGAGAAGGAAGAAAGGGCAATTGTGCATGGAAGAAGAGAGATTAAGAATGTAGAGGAGGAGGAGGAGGAGAGGGTTGGAGGAGATGAAGGAAGAAGGACAATGGTGGAAGGAGAGAAGAGAATATTTAGGAGGAGAAGAGCGATCAAGAATTAAGTAGAGAATAGGGAGGGAAAAGGAGAGGAAATTAAGAGGGAGGTGGAAGAAGCAAAGACAAATTTTAGGAGGAGAAGGTTCAAAAATGGAATGGAGGGAGGAAGTGGGCCTTTAGAGATGAACAAGTTTGAAGCAGAACATGTTTAACGGAAATTATCATATTTTTATTGTGCAAATGATTCGTGGGATGATACTGCATAGTAAGAGCCATATGAATACTTGAGAAGATATATGTTCTTATTTTAGGTCTAGAGCACCGTTTAGAGGGATCAAAAGAGATGAAAGCTACATGTATAACTTTGAAATGTGTTTGTAACTTGTATAGTCATAAAGTGTTGTTTTCTTTATATAAGAAAGGCATGCCCAACACCGTTGTCAGGAATCATATTAAACAAAGGGGACAATTTGCAAAATAGTCCGTTTTTGCTAATTATTTAGCAAAATAGACTATTTTGCTAAATAATTAGCGAAATAGACATCTTTTTGGTCAACAGGCCAAAAAGAGGTCTATTTTGCAAAACAGCTCAGAAACATACGGGACTAGTAGTCCCGTATGTTTTAATCACGGATTAGTGAACTCAGAAAATTTCACAAAACATTGAGATGAACTCAGAAAACATACGGGACTACTAGTCCCGTATGTTTTAATCACGGA